TATCCAAATGGCACAGACTCCAAAGTGATTTTTCTTCATTTTTAGCAAGGGATCAGGATATTCCTCATCTCAAAGCAAAATTAAACATCTTACTAACTCCCCTTATCAGTCCTTTAACCTGTAACTAGGAGCTGAAGTGCTACAGTGTCGTCCGTTCATGTGCTCTGCCATCTTCTGGTCAGTTTTATTGGTTGCACTTTTGGTAGGGAAAAGGATATTAAAAAAAAAGTGGGGAGAAAGGGGTAAAGAAACACGAAGGTGGATGTAAAGAAAGAATGTGTTTTAATAAATGAAACATTAACAACGATTGCTATTTTTAACAACATATGCACAGAAATAGAGAATGTCAGAGCTTACATCTACACAGATCATAGAATCATAGAAGGGTTTGGATTAGAAGGGACCTTCAAAGATGACCTAGTACAGCACCACCTACCATAGTTAGAGACACTTTCCACTAGACCAGGTTGTTGAAAGCCCCATCCAGCCTGGACTTGAACACTTCTACGGGTGTGGCAAATGTCAGAGTAGTTACAAGGTGGCTTTTGTTTTCACTGCCAGGGAATCAGGAGACTTGCACATCCTTGTGGCTATGCTCACAGCCTTGTAGTGAATGCAGCACCCACAGGAGAGAATCAGAGCCCTCTGGGATTACCTTCCTTTCCCCTGTTCACTCCTCCATTGCAGGGTTTCCTGCAATCTCTAACCAAACCACAGTGTTGATGCTCTTTTGAAACAGTTGCACGTTCCTCCTGCTTTTAGAAGTGCTGATGCACGATGGATTTGGCAAGAAAAACTTTTGGGTTTTGTCTGCAGGTGGTGAACAGACCTGGCTGATGGCAGTCCAGGTGTTTAGCTGAATCATAACCCATTTTAACTGTACTAAACATTAACCCTTTGCAGAGTATGTGTTTCCTTTCTGCTGGCTGTGCATCTGACATTTTTGTAGCTTCTCTGCACATAAAGACCTGTGCTGCCTGTAAGCATGTATGCTGATAACCATGCTTCACGTGAGGAGAATGGAAATGGGATTAGCTCGTGTCACTCACGGCTAGCTCCTGATCAAGACTACACATGACCACAGTGACCTGTTTTGGACAGTCTGGTGTCTGGTCAGGGCTGTGGGATGCACTCCCATTTTGTTGTTCTAAACAGTTGTCTGCAAGGGAGCATTTCTTCTTTAATTCGAAAAAGCTCTTTCTTGTTCCTGAATCTGCTGCTTCCACTTCCATAGTGTCAATGTAAAGAATAGCCTAAACCTCCACAACATATTTGCCCCAAAGATCAACCCTCTGACTGCGTTAAGCCACAGTAAAACCTGGCCTCTGCCCTCTCCATCTCTCTGGAAATTACAACAATTGGTGTGATTGACCTGCAGCTGCTCCATGGTCTTTCCATATGGGGAGACACCAGCCAGGCAGCAGGCAGTCAGTCCTCATCCCCTCTTTTTCCTTATGAGAAAGGAAGGTGCTTTGGGGATCCATCAACACTCAGGGCACATTGCAGTTTATGTCTTCAGTTTGTCAGGCAGGAGATGAGTGACCTGTGTGGAAAAGGATGATGTGAAGGACAAGGAGGTGGCTTTCTGTAGCCATGGGAGGTTTAGCAAAAGGGGTAACGGGGCTGTGGGGTTAAGCAGCATTTTGTCTGCTGCCATGTGCCATATGGGATGGACAGGTGTTGCCCAGGGTGGGCTGCAGCGGGGCCACAGTGGGTCACACCTGCTCTTACCTCCTCACCCTGCTGGTCAGGACTGGGAAACCCGGAGCAAGGACAGAGCACAGAGGAAGCCAGTAGGGTGCTGAGGACTGTGCCACAGGCAAAATGGGGCAGGAGAGGAGGCAGAGGCAAGAAAGTCACCAGGTCCCTCTGCAGCACAGATGGCTCAGAGCAGAAGGGCTCAGAGGGGCCCCGACTACCACTCTGCTTCTTCCAGTGAGTTGGTGGTCACTAACCAGCAAGTTACACATCTTCACATACATCAGAGAAAGCAAATCCTTCTGTTTTCTTCTGCCCCCATACTCCCAGAGCTGTGGTAATGGGCACATAGGACCAGGGTGGGTGGCACAGTACAAGGCAACTCTAGAGGGGTCTGTTCCTCATGAGATCCATCCCCAACACTCCTACTCCTCCCAGCTTTGCAGCAGCAATCAGCTGCAGGATCCCCTTATCCCAGGGCTCCCAGCTCCCTGTTGAGGGCTGATGCAAAGACAAGAGGCTGCTGAGAAGCGAGGTTGAGAGAGGAGGCTGGAGATGCTCCTGTGAGTCTGCACCTCCTGCCACAGGGTGGGAGCACCACAGTCCACTTCTCCTTGAACTGTCTACAGCATCCACAACATACAATTAACTGCTGTGTCTGTGTGCCCCTTGGAAGGAGGACACCCCCAGGGAGAAATGTGGCTGCAAGCTCAGCCATCAGCTTTCATTATTTGCTTAGTGCAGAGGTGATGTTTTCTGGTAAATAATTGCTGTCCCCTTTCACTAGCTGAGGTACGCATTTCCAAAGAGCGTGTGACCAGTTACTCAGGACAGCTGCCCTTGACCTCTCACACTGCAGCAGGGCTGATGGCCAGCCAGGGTGGGTTGCATGAGGTGGGTGACATTGGCATGTCCCCATCACTGCCTGGGCAGCTGGCCTTACTGCTTCCCTGGCTTACTGCACTGGGCAGGAAATGATTTCCATGGGAACTGGTTCCTAGAGCAGCAACAACTCCCTCAGTTATTCCGTCCTGAGGAACTGCTAATTTCATATTTGACACTGCCTGCAGGCTTCATCCTGGAACCAGTAACCCTCCAAGCTGGGGGCAATCCTTAAACAAGGCTACAGGAAATAGAGTGCAGGTCTCCTTAACGAAACACATCACCACGTGCTTGCTGTGGTAATTAAAGAAATGGAAGAAGAAATCGCAGTAATGCTTCATAAGGAAAGGCATGAAGAAAGGACTGCCCTTTTAAAACCCTCTGTTTATTACATTTTCCATAGTCATATGAAAATTAAAATATAAAGCCTGTTGCATTGATATCAATACAGAAAAAGCAAAGTCAGTGCCGTAAGTACTGAGTACACTGTGTCCCATTCTGAAGGACACAGCTTCTCAGTCAAGGGCTACTTTTTAAAAAAATACACACAGTCAGAAAAAAAAAAAAAGACCATGTAAACTAAGAGCTGCTGAGAATACAGCTTCTCAAGCTTCGTGTGGTTAATATTAACCCAATTTGAATAATTAATTTATACTTAAAATATTTCCTTAATTGGTTTGCAAAAAGTAAACAGTTTCTAAAACTTGCGTTTTAGAAAGTCCTGTGCTGACATCAAGTGGTGACACATTTTTCAAGCCAAAGGGAGCCAGACTTGCTGTATTGCATATACACAGGATTGTATTACCAGTGAGTAGGTAAAGGCAAGTCACAGGTCACTGGCAGGTGCTCCCATGGGGATGGACAGCCAGAAGGGTTTGGAAAAGCAACACAGCCACTGCTGTGCAGGGCAAGGAGGGTGGCATGAGGTGAGGGGAGGGGAGCTGAGCTGAGCTGAGCTGAGCTGAGCCTCCATAGCAGCTTATGGGCACAGGAGGCACTGGCTGAGCCTCCCAGCACCCACCAGAGTAACCACTGACAACAGCCCTCCCTTTCCCTAGTTAAGAAACCTCTGGCTGGGAAAGGTACAATGGGGCTTGGTGGCCTCAGGGGAGTGAGGAGACAATTAACTAAAGAAAGCTCGACACACAGTTAACCAAAGAGGATGGAAGGCTGTATTAATTAGTTCTGCAGAAATATCAAGGAGGACAAAACAAATACATAAGGTTATGAACTGGCTCTGAATAAAATCAAGCTTGAAGAAGAGTTTTAACTCCAAGTGAACTTCTGGAGCAACAGCCCTGGGAAAACTGTACAGATCACAATGCAGTTTTAAAACTGAAGGCAGTAGGGTCTGTGATATGAGCTCTAACATCAGCCCTGGGTTGGTAGGGACTGGCCTTGGTGAGACATGTGGTCTGCTTTCCTAACCTGCCTTAGTACTCACTGAATCTTGTTTTAAAAGTTGAAATGGATGAGAAGTGAAGTTTTATTTGGGGATTTATCCATGGATGCTCAGATGAGTTATAGTTTGTTAAAGGAACTGTATATTCAGATAATAGCTGGGGATTTATGACATGAAAACACAGAATGGTCTCTATGTTTATAACTCAGATTAAAAAAAAACACTCTTTGTCTCAACAGCTGTTGCTTTGAGTGTAGAAATTATTTCCTGTTCTTCCCAGAAGCCTGCCTGTGCTGGGAGCCAAAAGACTCCCTGCAGTATCAGTGCCATTGCACACCAATGGGTTTATCCTTCCTCTTGTCCAGGGCTGGGAAGCAGGGTCCCTCCAGCCACTGGGTGCATAGCTCAGCAGCCCAGGGAGTGCTTCAGTCCTCTCTGTATTTACACCTCCTTTCACAGACTCTGTTGTGTCTCTGTGTCTCTGTGGGATGGGGATCCTGACATCAGGAAAAGTTTCCCATGCTCTCCTTCATGGCTGAGCATTACAAATCTAACAGTGAAAAAGAAAAATGCCATATCCACTGAGATGCATCCCTAGCAGGAAAATACCATGCTTGGGTGCTTGGTTGTTCCAGAAGCTGGTGGGATTTGCCCATTGTGACTAAGCCTTGGCAAATGTTTTGTGGGGACAGCATATGAAAACGCCGTGTCATAAACTTGGTCCCTGTGGTCATTGTCCAGCTTGTGCTTTGATATGGTACAAAGAAATGTTCATATTGTTCATCCCCACCCATGTTGTGTTATGGTAAGTGAAGGCTGGGGCATGGGAGGAATACCCAAATTTTGGAGCAGCTCTCGGCAGCGCCAGCAAAGGTGTCAGCCGGGGCACCAAGAGGAAGGGCACTGTTGCACCACTAAGCAGGGGATTGGTTTTTTATTTTTTTTTTTCCATGTGTTGACATTACAGCCAGGGTTTGCCCTTAGAGGTTTTGTTTTTTCATGAGCAGCTGGACTTTAACCTTCATCTCTCCTGTAGCTGTGTCACCCAAGAGCTGCAGAAATGCAGGCAGGCGCCATTAGGTTCAGAGGGTAACAATGACAAGGTGCTCTTGGATAATATTGTTCCTTCTCTCTGCCCTTTTCCTTCAGACAGAGCAGACAGGTATGGCCTTTGTTTTCTTGTGCCTTTAATTCTAATTTGTGTTACCACTCCTCTAAAAACACCAGTAATTTTGTACCTTGTATCATGTTTACTTTGCAGTATAAGGTGACATCCCTGAAAACTGTCTGTTCATAATTTTCCTTATATTTCTCCTGTTTATTTCCTGCAGCTAAAAGTGAAAACCGCAGTAGGTTACTGAGGCAATGTAATTTTAAGGTACCATCATTTACGCCAGAATAATATTTTGTCTTGTCTTACAATTTTAAAGTACCCCAGATATTAAAGAAAAGTTTGTTTTATATTTCTAGTTGCTGCTGACATAAGAGAGTTGTATGAAAGAGGCTGATACGCATTCTTATAATAACTTGAAGAAACTTATGTTTTTGTATTAATCCTTCATGTTTTGTCAAAAATAAGGAGAAGCCAGGCAAGTAAGAAAAAGATGGTGACCTCTTAAGAAGCTCAAAATGCCTCTGGCAGCAGCAGAAGTGCACTGCCAGCTGTGCTGGATGTGGCAGAGCCACTGCACAACAGAAATGTGTACTAGGAGTCAGATAACCCTTTAAAATGTAAATTATGGTCATGAAGCTTTTTCTTTTTTAATATCATGTGCAAGCCAGTTGCTTATGGGATAACCTTCAAAAAGATAAACGTCTGTATGCAGTTTCAGAATAATTATGTTATTGCTCTTCTCACTTTTTCCAATTCTGTCATCATTAATTATTTCAACCTTGCAGCGTTGGGCCCCCAAACGCTGTATAAAAGAGAAAAAAATAAACAACCCAAGCATTCCCTGCCTCAACATGTTTACTTTCCAAGTACAGAACTGACAAACACCTGCAAACACACAGCCACATACTGCCTAATGTGGGGGCAACAGGCTCCAGCACTTCACCAGCCGCCCAGAGGGCCAGCAGTGCTTGTTGCAGATATCATTGCAAAGAGGAGTTTCAAGATCTGATAACTCCCAGGTCTTTGAGCCCTCCTCCTCTTTACTCAAATAAAAAAGATTATGGTATCTTCCACATAAAGGGTCATATGTTACATAACTCTCTTAAACACAAGCATTGCTGAGGGGTAGCTTTTATTTATTCGCCTTAAGAGAGAATTGCTTGAGAACTCAGCCATGTCACGGCTTTGCTTCTCAGCAAATAAATTGTAGTGAACTAAGACTGAAGAGTGTCAGTTTGGATTTACCATCATAAGTTAACACAATTAATATTAATTTCTACTGATGAGTTTGAAAGCCCTATGCAATCTCACAAAATAGTCTCTGCCTCTATGTTAATGTGTTTCTCTTTTGCCTGGCTGTCCTACAGCATTGATGCTCTGGGTGTCTCATGCAGTGAAAAAATGTGTCAGGAAGGGCTACAAATTCTCCCCGCTTGGAAGCAAGTCAGGCATTTCCTAGAAGTAAAAGGTCACAACTTGTCTGCTGAATCTGGGCAAAGAAAGTAGAGTTCTTTTAAGTATTGCTGAAACCACGGATGACCCAAAATTATTTCTCTTTTAGAAAAGGAGGTAAAAGTATTCAAGGAAATTAATCTAAGTACTTACATCAAAAAAACCCTTACATTTTGTCATATAATATGTTCCAGTGTTTATATCAGCTGATGAGGCAAACAATGTTATCAAGAGACAGAGGCGTGCCAGTTCCCACCTTCTGGAGGAGGTCCTCCAAGGCAGCTTGGAAAGGGAATGCCTTGAAGAGAGATGTACACATGAAGAAGCAAGAGAAGTATTTGAAAACGATGAAATGCTTGTAAGTATTTTGTTTTCCTGTGTGCATAATAAAAATTGCTGCCCTGATCTTTTTCTTATTAAACACAGCTTCACAGCCTGCTTCATTTGTTTGGGTTTCTCTCCACATAAAATCTTTGCACTTCCCACCTCAGTAGGTAGAAAGCAGTTGTCTTCCATGGTCAAAGTGGAAGTGAGAAGATCAGCTCTGACATTTTTCAAGTCCCCTCCTGAAAATTATGTGTCCTTCACCTTACCTTGTGAAATCACGTGCTTGTTGTTCCATCCTGACCACACGTGGAAATACTTTCTGCATGGGTGAACAGGGAGCTTCTGGACAAACTCAAACGCAGGAAGGAAGCCTACAGAGGGTGGAAGCAAGGACAGGTAGCTGCTTGGGAGGAATGAAGAGAAACTGAGCAGCCAGGAATCAGGTTAGGAAAGCCAAAGCTCTGTGTGAATTAAACCTGACCAGGGAAGTCAAAGGCAACAAGAAAAGTTTCTATAGGTATGTTGGTGATAAAAGGAAGATGGAAAAATATGGACCCTCTCCAGAAGGAAACAGGAGAACTAGTTACTGGGACATGGGAAGGCTGAGGTACTCAATGACATTTTTACCCCAGTCTTCACTGACAAGTACTCCAGCCACACCACCCAAGTCACAGAAGTCAAAAACAGGGACTGTGAGAATAAGAGCCACGCATTGTTGGAGAATATGCAGTGGTATGGAAGGGGGAAAAGTTTTAAACTGAAAGAGGGTAGGTTTAAATTGGATATTAGGAAGAAATTCTTTACTGTGAGGGAGGTGAGGCACTGGAACACATTGCCCAGAAAAGTTGTGGATGTCCCATCTCTGGGGGTGTTCAAAGCCAGGCTGGATGGGGCTTTGAGCAATCTGGTCTAGTAGAAGTTGTCCCTGCCCATGGCAGGGGGAACTAGATGATCTTTAAGGTCCCTTCCAACACAATTCTATGATTCTGTGATACAGATGGAAGGAATCAATGCACCAGCAAGTAGTGAGACCTACAGAAAGAGGTTCACTTGCACAGTAGCTGCAAATTCCCTTGTACCAGAAGCCCTCTTGACATGCACAGAGGGATGCTGTGCTCTTTAATGGGAAACTTAATGGAGATTTTGTTTTCAGGGCAAGCAAATGAAACAGCTGTAGGGCTGCCCATGTGCAGCCATGGTGCTTTGAGGAAGGGAGTGGTAGGGAGTGGTGTCCCTTCGGCAAAAGCAGCATCAGTCAGCTGCAGTGCCAAGGGAAATGCAGGTGGTGACCAGTGCTGGCGACCTGCAGCTCTGCTTTGTGCTGACCCCTCTACCTCAAGCAGCACCTCCTGGGGGCCAAGCAGGATGGGACAGGATGGGGTCACTTCCCAGGCTGCTGCATGCCAGGGAGACAATAACCAGCCAGTTTTTCCAGGAAGCTGCACTGCTAAAGGATTCAGCTGTTCCTGTCTGGCCTGTGAAGTGTTTATTTTTCTTTATAGCTTATTAAGGAACAATAAAATAAGCAGGAGGCAAACTCCCTCCCATTTCATGCATATTTTGCTAGTAGGGCAGAATTTGTAATTGTGCAACTGTGCCAACATCAAATCGCAGTATATATTCTCTTATAGCATATTTTTGTTTTATAAAATATTTATGGGTTATGGCATTATTTAAGAATTAAAATCTAATTTCCTTTTCTTTTTTTTCCCCTAGAAAATGTTTTGGGATATCTACTACGGTAAGCTGGCCCCTTGATTTTTCTCCTTCATAGCACTGTCACATTGTGAACAGTATGATCTTGTCCAGTGCCGGTTTTCTAAGAGTTTTTAGCAGTTTATTCTATAAGGAACATCCAGTCACTATTTGTCATGGAAAAGTCTTGATGTAAAAGGTTTTAAAAAGAGTAGTAAATATGAAAAAATTTTAGGTTGCAAAAAAAGAATCAAAATTGAAGTGAGTCAGTGTTACCATAGTAAATAGGTTACTTCTTTTCCTGAACTTAAAGCTGTTCTAAATCAACCTGGGCCATGAGAATATCTGTTTTGCAGATACAACAGAGAAGCAGAGTTTTACCAGCAAAATCTTCCAGACCTAGCAACTAAGCCTGAGTGAGATAAATAGGTGCTAAAAGCTACTGGGCTATCTACAAACTCTGGATGCTGGCGCTGCATCATCCCCTGGCAGCTGTCAGGGCAAGAAACAAATCTGCAGAAGCTGAGGGTCTGATGTAACTGGATGGCTCCTGAACAAGGAGCCTGTGGCACCACCTTATGGTGACTATGCCGTATTCCCTCTTTTTTCTGCATGGCTCGTCCCAAGCTCTTCTCTTGCTTTTAACTTAGCTTTTATTAATTTCTAATCTTAAATTTAGACAGTGTATAAGGAGTGGCAAAACCCACAGTTAGTATTAATTTTCTGCAAAAGCCACTAAAACACTGAGTCCAGGGAATCATTACATAGAAGAATCCCATCAGTGCTATATAAATTTTATGAAGGATGATGCTAAATATCTGGCACGTTATTACTTCTATGAGGGTAGGATTAACTTCTAACTTCAGTCATTGCATGTTTGTACTAAGCATGTCATACAGGCTTCCCCTCTTGTCTAGAAAGAGAGAAGGGCAACCAGTTCAGAATGGTCCCTGCAAACAAGTTTAGCCACAATCAGGACACATTACTGGCTTCAGCCTCAAGGATGGCTTCCTTGCTGTAATTAAAAGTCGTATGTCCTGTCTTCTTCCTACAGAACAGCAGTGTGTGCTTCCTTCTTTGTGATGTCTTCTCTAACATTTCAAAGAGCGTTGCCTTTGAAGAGTGGCTTCTCTCCTCCTCCTTATTAAGCAAACACATTCTTCCATCCTGTCTTCCAACAATTTGGTTTTCTAGACTTCTGGTATCTATTTTGCCTTCTCCCCAAAGTCCAGGGTACAGTGTGTAAATCTGCATTGTCAATAATAGTTCTGGGGAGAAAGGCTGAGCACCCACCCAACTGCTGGGTCACCCTTTGGCTCTGTTTTGTGCTGTTCCACCTTCATCCTTCAAGTCAAAGCTTATGTAGCAGCGTCTTGCTGGATGTCAGGGCACTTCGTCTGAGGTCATACTTGTCCCTGACCCTCTTTTATTAACAGTATATATTTAGCCATTGACAATCTCTCTTAAAACATCACTTTCTTAACAGTTTTGTGCATGCCTTATAGCAGTGTGTGTTTTCCTACCTCACTTAATGACAATGTAATCTGAGACACTTCTATGATGTTCTCTGATTCCCCCTAGTTCTTATCCTATAATATGATTAGATTTAAATGATTTAGATTATTTGATCTTGAAAAATGCCTGTTGGTTATTACTTACCACCTTTGTATTTTGCTGGGTGCTTTGATCATCCCAGTAGCTTTCCAGTAACAAAAATCATGCTGATTTCTCTATCGTTACCTGTGTCTCCTCTTCCCTCCTTTAATAAAGCTAGGTGCTAGATTTACTGTATCCCCAGCATGCATTTCAGAGACTTGAAACCATCTATCTGCTTCAGGCTGCAGGCATAACACTTTCTGTAGCTCCAGTTACCCATGACTGCTCCTGGAAGTCCTCACCTCTGCCTGCTCAGCTGTGGAGATGAGACCCACTTAACCCATCCAAAAACCCTCCTAGGAGGCCTAAATTGGGCTGGGGTATGCTGGTGGCATCTGGCTGCAGACGGGCTGAAGGTGGTAGCTCTTTTAGCCAGTATTTTAGTACATTTAACACTCAAAGATATGCATGCCCATAGCCTGAGCAGATGGTGATGGGTGCTTTTTATCCCAGCAATAGGTAGAGTTTTCACCTTTCTGTCCCTGATGTCAAACTAGGGCAGCCCACTGACTGAGGCTAACCTCTCTGATGAAGTGTTAAATTTTAGAAAGGTTAGGCTTTTCTGGCTTGCCCAGTGATAGCTTATGTCTACAATAAGCAGTTTTTATTTGGAGCATGTTTCCAAACTCTTTTGGAATCTTTCCAGTAGGCAGCTTGAAGGGAAACTGGCAGCTTTGCCCAGTGTTTCACTCATAATGAACAGGACATCCTCTGGTTTCAGTTTTTGGTTCATCAGAAAGACTAAACTTGCTGAGTCTGAGCTGCTGTATAATAATTGTACAGATATATAACAGATTTCCTCCTATTTTGATGCTGCTTGCTGTATGCTTGCTATACAATTTTGGTGCCAACTTTTTCTATCCACTGCATACCAACCTAACATGGGAGACCTAAACCACTGAGTCTCATACTATTTTTTTAACAAACGCATGGAACTGTAACTCAGTCCTTTTCCCTGAAGCAGAGCATCCATCCTCCAGAAGCAGACTTTGCCTCTGGGCACCTCCCAGCCTCTATGACAGGGGCTGCAAGAGTGCCTCTGGAAGCAGACTTGGGCTAAAATTACCCCTGAGGAGCAGTTTGGTGAGAGCCAACATAACATAACAGTTCTCTGTTGTTACTTACCACCTTTTTATTTTGCTGGGTGCTTACAGTTTAATCTTTCCAGTAGAATGAGCAGCTCATGTGCTGGGAAGGGGGCTATGTAGTTCGGGGTCAGTGGTGGTGGTGATTCAACTCTATCCATTTCTTCAGAGGGCAGGAGGTGCTCCTCGAGCCCCTGCCAGCACAATGGCGTGTGTGAGGACAGCATTCGTGGCTACACCTGCACCTGTGCTGAGGGCTACGAGGGAGAGAACTGTGCTTTTGGTAAGGCATTGCCCCCCTTCTAGAGAAGCCCTATTTCCTCCTTTCAGAGGGGGTTCCCATGAAACCATACACAGGTGTCCCATGTTTTTGGTTAAAATACACAGTTCTTGGTAGAGCAGGAGTGATGTGTGCTGCCCAGCTACAAAACGTTACGGCATCCCAAGGTTACACAGTCTGTCCCTGCCTCGAGTCTCCCTTCTCAAGGGATGCAGCAAAAGCGCTGAAGCAAATCCGCCTCATGGGTGGGCTGTAAAGGCAGCCCTGCCACTGCCACCTGTGCTAGCTGACTGATTGCCCCGCTGTGGTCCCAGGCGGTGTGGGGCCTGAAGAACCAGGGCTGCAGTGCTGGAGTGGCTGGCTGCCCAGGCAGCCCAGTGCTTCTGAGGCCACTCACACCCACAAGCCAGTCCCCTGGGACAGAGGGACTCCAGAAAACAAACTGTTTCTAGTGGAAGTGAAAGGCATAAAGCAAAACAGATGCTTTCTGGCACAGGAAAACCCCTGGGCCATATCCTCCTACATTTTTACATCTGCCAGGTTCTACTTTCCAGCCCTTACATCAGTATTTCTGCTGGTTCAGAGGTCCCTGGGGGCGGGAGACGCCCTGGCTGCAGCAAGGCAGGGTCATTTTTGTATAAGGGGTGTGACTGTGACCAGCTTCTGGGACAGCACAGAAGGTGACAGAGGTTTGGACCAGTGCTGAGAACTGGATCTGCTCAGTGTGAGCCTTAAGGAGCTGTGTTATGTGAGGTTTTTGCTACTTCTCCACATATGAGCTCGATCAAACACCTGTTGCTTTGTGCTAGAGCTTCAAGTGTTTGTTCAGCTATGGAAAGTTGACTGAGCACGTTTCAAATTTTATACTCCCTTTCTTTTTTTCTTACCTTTGGTAGCTGATAATTTAAAGTTTCTTAAAACAAGTATGCAAAATAAGAGCTATGCATTTGTTCTTTCTGAAAAACAGAAACCTTGGCCACCTTCTTCCTCAAGCAACAGTTGCCTTCTCAGCATGTGCAACAGTTCCCCTCCCAGCAGATACTGTGTTTTGTTTAAAAACCCATGGCATCTTTCCATGGCTTGACATGGAAGACCCAGTCTGACCCATGGCTAATGCTCCCCAGAACTCAAGAAGTGCAGAGAGTTGGTTCAGGGAGGTGCTGGGGAAACACAGTTTGCAACAGTCTGTGGATGTTGCAGACGCTTGGCACTCTCCAATTTCTCTTTAACAAGGGAAAAATAATGTGTTGGGAAATACTACCAAGCCAGACTCCCTACCTGCCTCCACACAAAGTGAACAAAAAGAAAATGTAAAGATGACTCAAGCTCTGAAAGAATACTCCAGGTGAACTGTTCCCAATGTTTTTCCCCCACTTGTTCTGTTTAGCTAAAAATGAATGTCACCATGAAGCAAAGCAAGGATGTCACCATTTCTGCTATCCAGGAACTAATTCCTACCGCTGTTCCTGTGCTGATGGCTATGAGCTTGGGAAGGACGAAAAACAGTGCATCGCATTAGGTAGGTGTGAGCATAGAAGTACAGGAGGAACCTGTTCAGGGCTGGGATGGGCAGGCCACCACCTGATACCCAGATATGATCAACCAGCTCTGAGGCTCAAGCAATGAGAATATTACTGGGTAGAAAAGTGAAAAATCTAGGGACCACCACCCAAGATGCCAAAGTAACAGTAAAAGAAGCAATATTTGACCTAAACATTTGAGTCTTCAGAGAGAACTGGCATCATCCTACATATCACTCACCAGACCAGGTTTTCCACTCCTATGTTTGGTAAAGAGTTACTCCACCAAACACCTGTTTGTTTGGGAATGAGGTTTAGTTGTTTCCCATCAGGCATCTGATGATCTGATAAGTGAAGGATAGAATTTGCTGCCATATTAATTAGTTTAAAGCAATACCCCTTTTCATCTTTTCAATCTCATACTAGGTATCTCATTCAATCTCATCCCTTTATAAAGTAGGCCTACTTAAAACACAGAATTATATTTAGACCCATGTCTGTATTAGCAAGTGGGGCAGACAAATAGGAGTTCAGCTATAGAGCCACTCTTTTGGTGATGAAAGCCTGATGCCCACACTCAGTGCACACTTCAGGTGGGCTTTACACCAAACTAGCTTTAGTTCAATCCTGTGGACTGAGCACCCATTACCTATGAGAGTATGTTATGTGTGCTCCTGGAGAGTGTTCTCTGGTTTAGTTTCACCAGAACACGATCCAGTCTATGTGACCCAAAACCAAACCACAAGGTGAACTGAAAGTGATACATGCAGATAACTGGGTGATCCAATTGAAGAGCACTCACGTTGTTCGAACCAGAACAGAAAGGCATGCACATCCCTAGAGTAACAACTTCAACAAAGAAAACCTCAGATTTACCATACCCAGACTGGGCCACAGCTATCAGGTATTTGGCACAATTCAAATACAGGATACAAAACTAAAAAAGCAAGCTGTGCTGATGCTTGGCTGGAGAGGAAGCCTCATTTCCTTAGTTAACAGACACAGTGAAATCTGGTCACTACAATAACCCAAAATTCAGCCCACTGCTAAACTTTATGATTAAACATTATGACTACAAATGCGAAATTATTCCAATTCTCACCAGCTGAGAAATTTGTCATTCTCCTTTTCCTTTGTTCAAAAACAAAATCCAAAAGTCAAGGTGGAAGCAATAAGGCATTTGCAGATATTAGCTGTCTTGAAACGATACAGTACAATATTTTGATTTTTTTTAAATTCATTTACTAGATGAATGTGCATGTGGCAGACTTCAAGACAGTGATAATCTGATACGTGAAACCAGGAAGAAACGTGATGAGCGATTTCCCTGGCAGGTATTTCTAGCAATTCATGAAACCCATCACTCAATCTCACATGGACAGCGCTATCTATTTTCTTTTTGCATTTTCTTAGGTGCTACTGCTAAACTCAGAAGGGAAAGGCTTCTGTGGAGGAGTGCTGCTAAAAAGTAACTTCGTATTGACCACAGCAGAGTGTGCTCTTCTGTACAACCATTTTGAAATCAGGGTTGGTGCTGGTAGGTGACCCAACACATCTTCTCTTGTTGCAGCACATTTTAGTATGGACAAGCTTAATTTAAAAAAAGCTTACTAAACTTATTGCTGCATGAAAATATTGTTAAAGGAAACAAATATGCTGTCATTTCATTTAAGCACCTCAGTGAAGTGGTGTTATAGCTCACATCTGAGCTATAACTACAGCTGCCCCATATCCCCTTTACAGGCAAAGCAGGGACAACTGCCTCTTGGACACAATGCAGAACTCAGCACATAGGGATAAGCTAAACATGGTGGATTTAGAGGTGGCTTTTGTTTCATGCCAAAATTCACTTCAGTGTTGAATTTTTGTCCTTACTGCTGAAATTATGCATGCTTCTATGCAGCATTAAAAAGCTGTCAAGGTATTATTCCTACTTTCCCTTTACTGCAGCGGTTCTGAGAAAGAGCACCTTCAGTTTCCCTACCACACGTGTTCCTCAGCACCACCAGGCAGTCTTGCATGCAGCTTACAGGTCTCTGATAAACTATTCCTAAGAGTAGCTGAAATGCCATTGCTTCACAGGGCCTAATGGAACAAGTGGAACTGAGAAGATAATGCAAGTTAGCGAGAAGCACATACACATCCGGTATGATGAAGACACTGGTGAGAACAACGTTGCATTGCTACAACTTCAAGAGCATGTTGAGTGCAACAACTACCAGCTTCCTGTATGCACCCCTGAAAGAGACTTTGCAGAACACGTTTTAATTCCAAAATTGGCTGGTACAGTCAGTGCCTGGAGAATGGAAGGCGATGAACTTAAAGCTGATGAGCTGCAGGTTTCGTACCTTCCTGCTGAGGACTGCAAACAAATACTCAACATCAGCCTCACAAACAGGCAGTTTTGTGGGCACCTCCAGAAGGCCACAGACAAACGACTGGCTGGAGGAAGCTTTTTAGCTACCGAGTATAAGGGCACTTGGTTTCTGACTGGTATCTTGGGATCTTGGCCACTAGAAGACACTGACTGGGAAACACTTCTTTTCACCAACACTGCGAGGTATATGATATGGGTTAAACAAAAAATGAAATAAGACACAAACACAACCAGCTCTCAAGCACCAAACCCCTCCCAATCATTGCAAGGAAACATATGGATGCAGCCAGTACCCCCATTTGACTGCATCACAATTCACAGCAATGGAAGTTTGCAATGATGGCATGTATTTAACTCCAAGTTATACAGAAAAGCCTGTTTGTCTTTCCTTCTTCTGCTGATACGCAGTACTGTGAAAGTCATGATGCAGTAAACTTAGTTATTTTACTAAAAACTGATTTAACTTTAAATTCATTAGAACTGTTCATCCTAAAACTCAAAACACTTTGACGTTTTTCTGGGATTTTAAATGATGCAAATAGGAAACGAATCTTTTCAATTCTTGGTATCCTGAGGTTTGCTTCAGCAAGTTCATATTCTTATTTCAGTATTCATACAAGTAAAACTTACGAAGACCAGAGGAACTTCTTTTAAATGTCTGTGTTAATGTAGGACTTGACACTTTCATCATGCTAAAAAATGCTTCCCCTCATACATGGTACCTGTGTTTTCCCTTATGAATGATCTCCATATCAGTTAGAGGATAAAATAAAACCCAACTGTAAAACATAGGAAAAGAAAATGTTTAATTTCCTTTTAAAATAATTTTAAAACCCCAAAACTACCACCTCATCAGTTTGGACAAAGTTATTTTGTGCCACTCCCAAACAAGCAAACCAACCAACCCCCCAAGGCAATAACAATTAAAATACTGGATCCAGTGGTAGTGTTTTCCCAAAAGTAAAATAAACCAGACTCTGGGTAAGTTAGCTACATCATCTTTTGTTCACAATTATAAAAATAAAACAAATATTATCAGAATTTAAAAAAACCCAAACCCATCTATGGGTACCTACAGACAAAATGCCCACATTTACTTGAACCCAGACGTATTACTGACACAGTAAAGCTTTTGGTGTCAAGCACTTCTCTAGTTTTTAGAGAAAGCTTGAAGAGAATATTTAATACCAGCAAGATTATCCAAGATACTTAAAAAAAAGGAAACCAGGTATGAAAACATTATTTCCATTCTGAAGAATGGCTTAACATGAGTAACAAAGGCTGACACTTCTCCCTGAAAGACAAATGCAAAAATAGTAACACAAAGTACTTTATAAAAGCTTTTAAGTAATTTGTGAGGAATTTGGAATGCTTTGCTTTATTTCTTGACGAAATACTTTGAATTATCTAGAAAGCCTGTGGAAATTACTATTTAAAAGTCAGCATTTCATTCCAACACACTTTGTAACACTGGCAGCCTTGGTCATTCTGGGAAAGGAGCCACAAACAGTTCCTGGTATTCCAGTCCTGGACACAACCCAGGCAATTTACAGTGTCCTTGGTATGATTAGGAGCAGTTCCACTGGGCAAGCTGAGTACCCGGCAAGTACTTGCATGGATAAGATGCAATACTCAACACACTGTTGACAGTGGAGGAAATGGGTTCTGCTTACTGACCACAAGCTTCTGATGCTGGTGGGATATGTAGCCTTTAATGTGACCCTGGCAGAAGGAGAGAAAGGGAGCATTAGTACTGGGAGCTGGTAACACAATGCCTATAACCTAAGCAAATACCTACAACCTAATCACGGCAGTGTGTGTATGCTCAATCACCACTGCACTACTGTACTTAATATCTGTAAGGGTCCAATTTATGTAAGTGGGTCAACTTAGAGAGTAAGGAGGAAGTGGGAACCACCCCCGTGTTTGGGTACTAGCCAGCCTGTCAGTTTGAGAGCCTCTTGCCAGGGCCCCCTATGGGTCTGCTTACATTGCCTTGAAGCTGTGTAAAGCTTACACAGCTTTACAGAAGTGTTTCTAAATCTACTCTTGTTCACTTTAAAACGAGGATTTTAATCCAATTAGTATTCCATACCTAATAAACTAAATGACATAGCACTTCCTTTTCAAACGTGCTGTAACACTGAAAGAAATCTTCCAGTGACCTACACCACATCAAATAATCTGTTTCAGAGAGATGTGGTTTGTTTTCTTGCTGACACTGCAGTGCTGCTCCAAAATCTCTCATTTAATAGAAATCTTTATATTTCAAGCCTTTATCTGTTCATGAGTAGTTGAAATCCCCTTAGAGTAAAAGCCAAATGTGGAACAAACCCAAAGAAATCTGGCTTTATTTTTCTCTAATGTTAGAAGGTCAAGAGTCTCCTACTTCAAATGCAGAACAAATCCTTTCTGGTCCCAGTTAAAATGTTTGTATTTTTAAATCAATATTTATGCATATACAGAAAAAAATGTCAGTACCAGATTTGTAATGTGAAATTCAACTTCAATTTTAACTGATACCTACAAAAAAAAGTAGGAACTAGAGGAAGTCTGCAGGGTAAATGAAAACATTTCACTTTGAGCACAAGCGAATCAACTTTTTTACACAAGAAAATGTGGGATTACTGATGTGGCTTTTGTAATAAACTTTTATTCTCTGTCCAATATTTTTTACTGCCTGATGTCTGAAAGGACCAGACAACAAGTGGTCAGCACATACCATATATATAAGGTTAGCTAAAATGCACTGGACTTCATCAATATCAACATCCTCTACTTGCATGAACTTCAGGGCAATCAGAAAGGCATCTAGAGATAGCTGATGGGTTTTGAGTAGTAAATATCTGAAAGAAACAACAGAACAAATGTGTTACTGAGAAATACTTGAAAATTCTGGTTCTTAGAAAAATGGTGTTTCTACAATAAATTCACTTCAAGAGGAAGTCAGGTCTCTCAGAGGGAACTAAGGAGCATACACATTTTTATCTCAGTCCAAGGTAAAACCATACTATATACGCTTTTCCAAAATACAGGTTTTGTTATGCTTACACTTTCTTAAAGAGATTTCTGTATGTGATGATTTTCAGCTTCTCAAGGATAAGAAAGATTCCACATCGAATAAAGAAGGTCTCATGCTTTGTCAGAGCATCATTCAGCAGGAGAAGATTGCCTTCACTGCAAAGATGAATAAATGAAAAAATGAGAAGGTCTCACCCAAAAGAGAAAAGAAATTCTCTGACTTGGTAGGAATATGCATCCCCTGCCTTCCTCAATGATCCCAAATAAATACCTTTTACTTAATACTTTTTGAACACAAAGGAACAAAACAGGCATCATACCTCACAGACTTTGTTACTTCAGCAAACTGCATAAGGTCATACTTTTTTAAGAGCTGAACTGTTGGCATATGGCCCTGAAAAATAAATGGTTTCCATGTTTTCCAGGGTAAAGTCAAATGCATTTTAAACAGAATCTACTAAGTTACAAAAAAAAAATTGTTAAGAGAAAAAGACAAATGTTTAGCCACTTTTTTTTGCTAGAGAATAAGAAGTGAATAAAAGTATTTGTAAGACAACCTCCTTGTCCCTGTCAAACACGTTGCAGCTCAACTCACAATAACTACTGATTTAGAGAGTCTTCATACTTATTGTTATGTAACAGCTATCAGATTTGTAAAATCAAGATCCCATGCCATGAGGCTGATGTAGATTCAAATTTTATGTCATGACTGTATGATCTAATCTGCAAACAGAAGAACTGTGGGAATACCAAGCATTCCCAAGGGAATACAAACAGTGCTGCAGCACTGTCAAATGCCAGCTCAGTCTGTAGCAGAGATTTTATTCTCTGCTTCCATGTGGAAATAAAAATGACCTTTCAAAAAACAAGCACCACTACCAACCTCCTTTCCCCTCTGCAAGAGAAAAGAGAGAGAGAAATGTTAAAGAAACAAAATTAATTCTCATTGCTGAATCAAGTAAGACTGAACTATCTACACCACCTAAAAGAAACTTTGGTTTTTCCCCATGCACAACAAAGATCAGATTGCACATTGACTTGGTCAGACTTTAAATTTAGTTACATCATGCTATGCTGTTGGTAACTCCTTTCTTGGATGGAGGATTAGCTGAGTGCAGAACTCAGCTGCATGTTTACTTGAGAGCTGCTAGGAATTAAAAGAAACAATATCCAAGCTATTTTAGTATAGTTTAAGGTTAATGTTTAGGCTCTGATTTAAAAAAAGTAACTGTAAAAACAGTGACCTTTAGCTAGTTTCTTTAGTGGCTGTTGTACATTAGAACTGCTCCAGAAAAGCCACAGTAATTCTAGGCACTACCAAACCCACCAGTTTAAGGCACCCAGTCAAGACTGCGACAAAGTTTTTAAGAAGACTGTTAGTTTTCCTTTATGAACCCTACCATTGATTGATCTGAAAGTAACCAATAACAAAGTCAACAAATAAAAAACAAAAAGAAAAGCCAATTATCATACCCACTGGACACAGCAAGCGACTGGAAAGGGAACATTGAATGGAAAATGGAGAGTGGTCACAAATAGGTTGTGGCAAAGGTGAAAGATGGTAACTCAACAGAGGCAGGTGATAACAACATTCTCCATGAGTACCTTTGGTAACAGGGTGGGGAAGAGGAAACTCTAAAGTCTAGCTCTTGTCCCCTTGGTTACACTGAATTAATTGTTAGCATAATCCCACTAATTCAGGGATACGCAAATGTTAACACAGCACAGGGGAAAGGACAGGAACAAGAAACAGACGTGTTTCGTTCTTTTAATAGAAATACAAAATGATCACATACTAACCAGCCTTCAGTGATTTTTTCAAAACCAAAATGCTCTACCTCATATCCCTTCTGACATGGGCAAATACACAAGGTGCAAATAGAAAACTCAAAGATAGGCTGTGGCTGTGACAAACCCCTCTCAACAGTCCTCAGCCATTTGTTTGTACATCCTCCTTCCTTCCACTAGGTGTACATCCTCCTTCCTTCCACTAGGTGAAAGCAGCAGATCAATTTGTCCTAGTGAATCCACACATTCCCTGGCTTGTCTGTGCAGGTGATCACCAGAGATGCACACTGCTGCATGACAGAAGTTAACACTGTTACGTGGTTCTCCACAGAACTCAAAGATATCTTTCTTAGAGAAGTATCATCAGATTGCACCTTCAGGAAGGGTGGGAGTAATGTAGGGGGAATGGAGGGACAGGTTGGTTTTGTTAAGGTGGGCAGGGGAGGGATTTGTTTGTTCGGCTGTGTTTCCATCCCCTCATTTCTCCTTTCCTGTTTTGCTACAAATGACAGCTCAACGTTTTTTATCCTCGAACAACAAAGTGTGCATATGCTGGCTCTTACAGGGGTAAAACACAGCCTCTGAATTCCAGTAAGGGAAAACCAAGAACAATACTGAGCATCAGGTTTATTATCTGTGTCTGTCCCCCTTCCCCCCTTATTTAGAAGAGTAACATCTACTCACCAACAGCATTTTTACTGGCAGCAGGTAGATCAAAATCATTCTTTTATTCTTCTGGCTAGATCGGTGACAGTGCTCAAAGGCAAATGACAGATACTCTTCAGCTGCAGACACAAATGAAAGCACCAGTAATATGAGTCAACAACAAAAATGGATTAAAACTGTAACCCAAATTCTGTGCTCAATTTCCACCTCTAGCTTGAACATGACATTTGAAATTACATTTAAAAAAATAATCACACCAATCAAAAACCTGGAGATTCACACAAAATACAAAGTATTACCAGAAAAGTAAGTTTTCCTTCAGGAAGTCAAAGAAAACTTGACAAGGTCTGGATGTCAACATAACAGTTACAAGTAATATTGGAATTTTCAGCTCATTTCAGTAATATTATTGTGCTCCTATTACAGAAGCAGAGAATCTCAAGAAGCACTAATGATATAGCACTCTATTTTCTAAATTCAGATTAGGTTCTTCCGCGGATGACAGCTGCATGCAATGCACTCATCTGCTGAGCTGCAGAAATGTGCCAGTAAGACCACACAGCATAACACCACAAAAATCTGCCAGCACTTTCCAACAACAGATAAAAATTATAAGCCTGACAGGCAGAAGACACTGTTAAGAGTAACAAAACCAGCTCCAGAATAGATTTTGGTCAGGGGCTTCAGTTAATGATGAAGTTATACACCTTACCTCTAGAAGCATTTCTACTTATGAAATCTACTAGAAATCTATGAAAAGCAGTTTCTACATCTTCCAAAATCAATGCACCTAATATCTATATTACAGTTTGCTGAAGATTTCCTACATGGCACACAGTAACGTAAAGGGGACAAAAGAGCCGCAAAGCCTCCTTTGTGAAACCTTTTACAAACCTATTCTTCTGGATGGTCATACATTTTGTAATGCACAAACATAATGCATAAGACTACAGGGAACCTCACTGACACAGCTATTTTAAACCTGGACATATACTACAATTAGAAGTGTCACATAATCTCATCTCTGTTCTGAGTCAGCCTGTGGGCCTTCTATCTTTCAGCATGACTTTCCTTTAATCCGTGCAAACACAACTGCACCTTCTACTCGTGTTTTGAGTCACATACAACATCAGCCAGATTTCACACCAAGAAAAGACTTTCAATGTGTCTTACTGGCACACAGTACCTTGCTTAAAGTCACTGTCAAACATGGCTTTGCGTCCGACATAATATTTGTATGTAACTCGCTGTGCCATACTATATTCGTCCTTCAGATTTGAGCTGTCAATTGCTCTAATTAAGGGCTTACACAGATGGAGTTTGTTGATCTGTTAAAAAAAAAAAATTGCATTTTACTTAAAGAGTGTAGAAAAACAGCATCATATAAAAAAGGGTGGGTTTGACTTAGAATATGAAATACAAAACACAGCTTACCAGACTTGAACCCTACCTTAAAATAAATTTTAAACAGCTGATTCACAAGAAACAACATGCCCCACTTTTTGGAGTCTTCAATGCCTGCTCGACTGTCATAAGCAAAAAGAAAAAAACCTACTAGTACAGAATCCTTTAAGAAAATAACTATTTTGTCTTTATAGTAAAATTACTCAACAGATATATTATGGATTTTTAGGATTAACATAGGTGTCTAAAAATAAAAGTCAATGCCAAATTCCTTAAACTCTTTATGTCTTAAACCATACCAGCACTGTCAAAATAGAACATGTGGTCCCATATTAATACCTCTGCTACATTTTTTCTCAATGCCATGAAAAGATGTCATGCAAAGTACTATTCATCTGCATGAGGGCTCTCACTCTAGTCTGCAGGTAACACATACACTAGCACAGCAGTGACTTATAATATTTGAGATGAATGATTGGGAAAAAGCATCTTTCCACTTCAGAAGTGTTAAAATTGCAAAGACTGGAAACCCAAGTTTTCATCTTTCATTAGGCTTTTCCATCTAAACCTAATGGAGCAAACTTCACAATTGAACAGGGTACAAAAGCACTAATCATATTTTCTGAGAAACAAGGACATAATCAGTCCCTCCCAACAACATCTGCTACCAATGCAACTTATGCTAGGTACCAATGCTACCAACAAAGTGAGTGCTCTCCATCTCTAGTTAATAGTCAAGAGAGAACAGACTAAAAATTACAGGAAACAAGAATCAGAAGTCTTCATTCTTACCCATATATGGCCTTAGTAAGCGGGAAACACAAGTTCATTAAGCTCTTAACAATTTAATAGTGCAAGTTCTATAGAGGGTCTTTCACTTACGTGTCACTGGCACAGACTCGAAAACAGCTCATCAGTAGTTCTGCTGCTTTTTCCAACATGTCACCAACCTTGCTTTTCCCTTTCTTCACAAGCTGTTGATCTGCCTAGAATTACACAGCAAGAAACAATATGTAATTCTACGTTCCTGGTTTGCTGGTTTGCGAACAGTTTAGTTCCTTAATACTGCATTTTATAAAGTATTATAGCAATAGATTTGCCATGCCTGCTGTCTCCCAAATCTAGAAGGCAGTCAAGCTCACAGAATAAAAGAAAACACTTGGAGAGGCTCCTGAACATGTAGCAAACCTAATGCACAGGAGGACAGTCCTTTGAAAATACACAGGTCTCAGAAACCTAAATTCAGGTTCAATACCTGAACTGGAGCATTAACACTTCAACTCAAGTTTACAAAGACCAAGAGTCTGGAAAAAATTATAGAGTTTGAGTTTTAGAATTCATTATTCAGTTTCTCTCCACAGCCATGAAGACTAGATTTTATTTCTAAACAATATTCAAAATTTTCCAGTAGTAATGCACAACGCTGAGAGCTGAGACTTCCAGAAAAACATAAAACCTATGTTAGAGCAGCAAGAGAAAAAAAAAGAACTCAGCTGTCAACACATGGGAAAGATCCATGCACTGACTAATGCAGAACTTCAACAGAAAAAACATAGCAAGTAGGTATTTATTACTTTCTAAAAAGTTTTAGTATAGTGCTTGCATTCTCAGTAGCTGAAACAAAGTAAAGAAATGGAAATGCATCCTCTGCTGTAGAAGTCTTCTCTGCATCCACATCCTTTGAATACAATACGGTTAGAAGACAGAGTCCAAACACTTCCAGTATGACTGATTCAACATTCCCCTTTCTCATGCATCTCAGATAAATGGATTTGCCTCATTCAGACTGAGAACTGAGCCTTGTTACAGAGCAGTCAACACACAAAAGATATTCTCTGTGTAAGCATGCCATGTGTGTGATTTCGTGGGTAAGAGTGGTAAGAGCACAAGAGAGTGCTGAGTGGATATTATCAAAAAAACTGGATATTATAAAACTCTAACCTAACTTGAACTTTAGCTTCATCTCTTCAGGTAAAGTGACTAGCAGCAAATCACAACTCTGCCACTTACCTTGGCCTAGCAGTTCTCCATAGGTCTCTACCACAAGCTACTTCAATTCACCAGCATAAGAAAAATAATGTAAATTTGGGAATTATTTGCATGTCAGCAGTTGTATAGCTCAGAAAGGGCTCCAACGAGCATCAAAAGCAGTGCACACAGCTGGAAAAGGGGAAAGGAGCAGAAATTCCCCTCCTCAGATGTGGTGAATGGTTAGAATAGCTCAGTTGTCTGTGACACCTGCACCCTTATAAAGATTTCAACCAAATCCCAAGGATAAGACACAGAAATAGTGAGTTGTGGCATGTCCTACTCAATAAAGTACTCAATCCCTTCATCAGTTCTCAGCAACCACTGGGAGTTGCATGCAGGTCCTCAGAACCCCTCTAGTTCAAGCTGCAAATGACAGATGGACAAACCAAGCAATCTCATTTTTCAATAGGACTGGATGAATTTAGTGTGACAACAATATCCTAAATAATGAGTTTAAGAACAAAATTAAGCTGTGCAATAAAGTCTAAAAAAATTTCCATTGCAGAAATACCAGAAATACCAAAGAACAAGTAAAAGCAATGAGGTTGTTAATCAGATCTACTTACATTATTAGCAAAAATTCGAAGATCAAGGGCTACAGCATACATAATAGGTAAGGCCCTGGAAAAGTAAAACATAATATACTTAGTATATGCAAATCATGCAATAAGTAAAACATGAGAAAAAAGCAATTTTTTTTTGTTAGTTGATCATAAAACCAAAAAAGTACACATTAACCTTTAAATAAAAACAGATGCACTTTTTAAAAGGAAAGTTCTTCAAGTTCTCAGCATTTCATAAATCATACACTTATTATTTCTGAAGCCTTTTTTAGTGTGACTTTTTAAAATACCAACTCCCTTTGAACAAACTCTTCACGTGTTCACTTAGGGACCACTCTACATAATTAGGTGCAGATGTTTAGTTTTCTACTAAACATCTTTTCACACTTTTAAACATTTTTTCACACTTTTGATCTAAACATGCAGCAAAAGCAATTAGGTTGGATTTAAGCATCACTAGGAATAAATAAAAACTATAGGTATAATTTTATTTGATCACTATGATATTAGATGGAAAAGATGAGTCTAGTTTTTAGTAGCTTTCTACGATGTACTCACCAATTTTCTTCTTTGTGTGCCTGAAATGCGCGCAGGAAGGATGTAATGTATTCAGGAGAATTTAAAATGCCATGACACAGAGCACATATTTAAGAAACAGCAGTTGAATGGTACCCCTTATTACTACATGAAGGACTAGAAACCAAAAAAGCATCAAGTAGTTCAGCAGTCAGGGTGCAAAGACACATTATGGAAGAACGTGAGCACAGCCACGCACTCCTTCATGTGGCAGTAGCAGCAGTAAGAAACACTGGCCAGAGATAAGATAGAAGCTTCTTTATCATTATTTTCCCCTCTAGCCAAGTAAAAACTACAAGGTATATTAATGATTTGAGGGTCTCCTATACTCTGGGAGAAATTAATTTTCTATTTGAGAGCCAAGTGACAGATTCCTTCTTAGTGCTACAGAAAGTTGAAAGAAGAGTGTATCTGGATTCCCTTGCTTAGGAACCTAAGCAGCTGAAGTGGAAGCAAATCACATCCTATTAGCTTTTTATAAGGCATAAGGAGAACTTATTCTACAAGGAGACAGAGTTAATCTGAAAACAATATACAAGACTTATGGAAAAGGATATTGGACAATAACTGTCTGGCATTTGTAGGCTTCTATAAAGTCATGGTTTCCAACAGCATAAGTACACCTGTCAAAGAAAAGGTGCATTAGTGCATCAGAAAATAGATGTAAAACAAATATTTCTTTTGTCTCTTAACAGGCATAAAGATTTACAGTTTATTTAAGAGACACAGAAATGTGATTAGAACGCTCCAAACAAAATGGCACAAGCATTTTAACAGAGTACTAAGCTTGATAGTTGTAGAAAACTGATCCAAGAGATGGATGAGGATTTGCTTTATTAAGCTAATGCTTACTGAAATGGTCACCAACATTAGATAAAAAAACAAAAATCCAAGACTGTTGAAAGAGAACTAAAGACTGTGTTAATGCAGATTTTTTTTAAATAAAAGTCTCAAGGAATTACTTAGGTACTACAGCTGTCTTAAGAGTACTTTTATGACTAAAAATCCCTTTAAAAAGTGTTTATTTCTTATTTATTTCATTGAAAATTCTTATGTAGCTAGTACACACAGAGCAAGGGAAACAGTGAAACCAAAGCTGTGCCAAAGGCTATATGCAGATGACTGCCAGATGCATAGAGCAAACTTTATATGGAGAGGAGAGAGAAAGTCTTTATTTCCTGTAGCTCTTGCATTATTTTTAAGAATAATAAATACCAAGGTTCCAGATGTAAGCCCTTTAAAATAGGTAAGTAAACTTAAGGATATCTCCTTCCTCAACCCTGGACATTTCAGACCTATCTTTACCTTAAGTGGGCTGAAAACATTTCATCATATGGTGGCTCCAAAACTTGTTGACACTTCTCCTCTGGAGATGGAAGCTAAGTATAGAATAAAGCCAAACATTAAAGGAACATCCAAGGCACCAGAAACAGGGCATCATATGGATATTTTGTCATGGCAGTTTTCACAGAATCACAGAATTGTTAGGGTTGGAAGGGACCTCTGGAGCCCATCTGGTATTGTTGCATCTATCAGAACCTTAAGTTATATTAAAAATCATATTCAGTGCAGTGAATTGCTACTGTGCATTCTGTCTCCAGAACCTGATCAGAGCCAGCCTTAAGTAAAAGCATCTGAGATTTGCCAGGCCCTTCCTTCCCACTGCTTTTTTTCTTTATAGTCACTTCCACTCTGTCATGTTAATAACTAAGGCAGCCCTGGTGAGAAAAGGACTTTCAAGACTGTATCTATCCAGAACACGAAGAGCCATCAATGAAACAAAATAATTAAAAAAAAAAAGAAATATAGAATATCCCTGCAAGAAGAAAACAGAAGCAAAACTACAAGGGGATTCTGCTCTGGCCTATGAAACAGGTTTCTAAGGTTTATCTCCAACAGAAAAGGAACCCACATAGAAAGCTAGGAAAACTGAAAGCAGAGCAAAAGAAAGGTCAAAACTAGATTCTCACCTGTAGTCTTGGATTTGCTACATGGGGATGTTTAAATGATACTAATTCTGCACAAAATTGTCCATCTCTGCTGTCAATGGCTTCTTGTACCTACCAAAGTAAACAGCCTGATTACAGAATAAAATCCAGCAACACACACACAACAACATATTTACACAACTATAGAAGCCACTTCCTTGTTAACCACTGTTCATCCTCATTAATACAAACTCAAATCTGAGTTTTTAAAGGTTTAAACCTTTAATAATCTTGTATTTTCAATAAACCTGTTTTTCAAAAAGGTCCCAGAGAAAAGGCAAGGTGAACACTATTGTGGTTTTTTCCTTATTTGTAGGATACAAGCAAACCACAGGATTCCCATACAGCGTACAATGGGCTTATTAGCATTGTGAAACAGCAGTTGTGAGCCATATTCCAGTTGGACTCATGGACATCAAACACGTATGTGAAGTTACAATCTTGGAGTAATGCTTTCAAATAAAGTCAGGCAGACTTAAGATGTAGATCTCATTTCAAAGGCAATACCTGATATTAGACTGGCATCTATACAGAACACTTTTGAAATCTGTTAGGAGTGTAAATGTTATATTCTGTGGGAGAATGGTTTAATTCTGCTTCCTGCTAAAGATAACTCCTTGTAAACAGTAGTCTGCCTGAACAGCTTATTGTTACATTAAAGTGGAAATTTCTGCAGTTGTGGAAGCAGTTTTAAATATTACTTCTTAGGAGTTCACTTCCCACTGCTTGTGCTTTATTTGTCATATTTTTGTGTCCCAATACCGAAAAAAAAAAGCTTTTTACTGTATGGAAAGTTCCTATCAAATGGGAAAAACGTATAGACTAAAATATCAGCAAAAGAGGGAAAATCAACTGCTTGAGTTCTTTCAAAAATTGACAGGGATTTTTTCCTTCAGGAAAAGGGAGACATAATTTTGTGGGGTTTAAGTAGTTTTTTTCCATTAAATATTCAACATACTGTCAACCGGACAAGATGGTAACTTTTCAGAGCAGATCATTGTCCAGAGCGATCTCGAGATGCTCCATTTTTGGAGACTGAAACCCAAACAGTTGCTCTCTTTTCGTGCCCTTCACTTCACTGACTTGACTGCTGTCAGGTGAAGTGAGATAACAATGATGAGAATCCAGTGGTCCAGAAAAGAACCAGCAGGAGCGGACACTAAAAGCTTGACGCTGACAATTCAGTCCAGATGGTGTCCCTGTGATTCTGCTCCCGTTCTCTCCATCCTCCCTGCCATACACTCGGTGTCTCCGCATTTCTGATCTTAAATCCCTGTGTTTGCCGAATTCCTGAGCTGCCCCTGTTCCTGCACGCTCTCACCGTCCCTCCGTGCCGGTTCTCACGGGTTAATTACGTTAATTACCCGCTACATCAGAAACCATCACACCTTTCGGGCGTTCCAGGCACAGGCCCTCGGCACTCACACGGCGTGCTTCACACAGAGCGAAGAAATGTATTTCTTCGCCACATCGCTCGTTCTATTTCTTAAACAAGACAAGCTATTTACAGCACCGCATTTACACCCACGCGCTCAAAGAGCGCCCACAAATTAATTTAAAGTAAAAAAATTAGAAAGAAACCTGGCTTACTTGCTGCAAATACTGGTTTATGGTGATGTGGGCCATCAGAGCGCAGGCAGGGCAGTGGTCCCGATCTCTGCCACCCTCCCGACTCCCGGCGCGCCGCTCCCCGGAACTCCCCTCGCGCTTCCGCCACCCGCCCAGGCGCGTCACGTGACAGCCGCACGACCCCACCCCCAATCGCTGCTCCCGCGCTCTGCCCCGCCCATAGCGGATGCGGGGGCGTGGCTTAGCATCGGTAGCCAATGGGAAAGCGCGGTGGGCGGGGCAGAGGGGGCGCGTCAGTGATAAGCCGCGTGCGCTGGGACGCGCTGGGTGTTCCTAGGTGTGTGGTGGTGTTGGTACCTCTGGGCATCGTACACCCCCCGTCGGCTCGTAAAGGTGGCGGACAGGGGGTTCCGTGAGCCCCGTGTGGGACAGGACCCCCTTGGCAGGAGATCCCAGTCACTTGCCCAGGGGAGCGCGGGGTCTGGAGCGCCCTCCTCGCTGGCAGCGCTCCCGGGAGTCGCGCTGCCCGCGGGGAGCCCTACGCGGGGCGTTCGCTGAACTTGGGTCAAAAAAGTTGAATCGAGCATTTAACTCTTGAAAAGGCTGCTCCTAAAGGCACTAACGCCATGGAAGCGTGTAAGACAAGGCCACGCTCCATGCCCGGGCAGGCTGGACTCGCCTGTGTGAGCCGGGCTGGGGGGAGCCGGTGAGCAGGGCTGGTGGCTTTTCTAGACGGGATGCGCGGCTGCTCTATGGGTCCCGCTCCGGCCGCCCCTCGGCGGACACCAGCAGGCATAGCCGGGAGAAAAAGCGGGGGGCGCCGAGGGGCTGCGAGGCGATGGCGAGAGGAGCTGTCGCCGCCCGCTCGGCCCGCGGGAGGCTGCCCCGGCTTGGGAGCCATCTTGTGAGCGGAGCTGCCACTGCCCGAACGCCACGGGCGGCCCGGACCGGGGCACGGACGCAGACCCGCACGGCGAGCCGGCCGCCGGGGCAGCCGGGCGGCTATCCGTGCCTCCCGGCCCGGCGGCGCTTGGCAGCCGCCCGCGGGCAGTGGGGGAGGGTGGCTGGGTGGCGGCGGAGGAGGAGGAGGAGGGGAGCGGAGGCGGGGACCGGGCGGCCCCGGCCCGGCCCAGCCCAGCGCGTTGCCCCGGCCGGACACGGCGCCCGGGGCGGAGATGGCGGACGAGCCGCAGAAGAAGCCGCACTTGTCGGCCTTGGTGGGGCACACCAACGGGCTCACCAAGCCCGCCTCGCTGGCCGCCACCGCCACCCGCGCCGCTGGAGGAGGAGGAGGCGGAGGCGCTACCGCCTCCTCCAAGAAACTCGTGATCAAGAACTTCAGAGGTGGGTACGGGGCAGGCCGGGCCCTCTGCCCCGGCAGGTGCGCCTGGCCCCGCCGCTCGGCCCCGGCCCGACCTTTGTTTACCGCGGCCCCGGCCGCTCCCCGCGCCTCCCCCGCGGCCGGTCCGGCGGGGCCCCGCCGCTGTCACCCGCCCCGCCGCCTTATCGGGGCGAGGGGCGGCTGCCCCGAGCTGATACCGCGCCCGCCGCTGGCACCGTGCCCGTGCCGGGGCTCCCGGGGACACGCGTGGGGCTCCGCGCCCGGGGGCAGCGGCGGCTGCGCCCTGTGGGGAGCGGGCAGAGAGCCACCTTAGTGTCAGCGCTGATTAGAGCCAGGCGAGGGTGGGTACCTCGCTAAAAGTAACACGGGCTCACACACAGCAGCCAGGGGTCATATGCGTCGTGCAAAGGTTTGGTCGCCTCGGGTGGAATTGGTGACCCCTCTGCCAGTGCCAGAGTTACACAGTCAAGCACAGCATGGCTTGGCAGGACTCGGTGGAGCAGGGTGAGCGAGATCGCTGCAGACTCCTCTTGGGTGGTTGTTTTTCAACTAGTTGTGTCTTACTTCACAGAAAGACCCAAATTACCCGAGAATTACACTCACGACACCTGGCAAAAACTTCATGAAGCAGTGGGAGCAATACAGAGTAGCATTTCTATTAAATACAACCTCGAAGAGCTCTACCAGGTAAGGCACATAGGGTTTTAGTTTCATTTCTTTGAGTTTAACAGAAGGCAAATAAACTGCTTTGGGACTTTCACAGAGCACGCATTCAGCATGGTGTAATTTGATTTGTTAAAAGCTGATTATATTTTTTGAACACTTTGCTCCATGCTCCATTTCTAGTCAGTTTGCAGTTTTATATATCAGTGCCTTGGAGAGTTACCAGGATCTTGGCCCATGAAAAAGCAGTTTATGGTGGGAGACACAGAAATCTATTCCTGGGCACGGCTGAGATTTCTCTTGGTATCTTCAATAGTATGCCCACTCAACATGCTGAAAATGGGATGTTCCTCTAACTGGCTTATGAATGTATATATTTTATAATGATTTTTGTACATGGTATGGTCTCTTGTAAATAGTGAAGCTGAAATGTTTGCCATTATTAGATAATAACATGACACTTCAGCATCAATACTTCTTGGGATATTGCGAAGGAATATCAATTGAGCAGGCAGCAAACTGTCAGTTTACCCATGTTTTCAGATTACTGTTACATTTACATAACAATCAGGATCTTATTTTTTTTATTCAAGTGGTGAAAAAGTATTTCTGGAACATGTGGACTAATGGAGCAGGGACTAGGAAGGGTAAAAGAGAGACATACTCATGAGCCATTTCTTTCTACTTTCTCAGTTTTTATGTAATTTAGTTCTATATTATTTTAAATGTATGTACTTTGAGGTATTTAACTGAAGTAGTGATTTTTTTATAGTGAGCATGTTATAAAAAATTGCCAATGCAGTAAGTTGTACTACACAGCATAAGTTAGTTATGAATTTTCTCATGAGTGGGTGTAGGTGTTTGATCTGCAGATGCCCCATTTGTTGATGCCCTTACCAGATCAGGACTTAAGATCTATTATGCTCACCTGACACTTTCTCAGAGTTTGGTTAAGGTAGGTTTGATATTGTCTGCAAAGTGCAGACTTTGAGAGAGAGAAGAGGGCCAGGAGTTCATATTGGGTCCATGCTCAAGAAAGTCAGGCTGGTTTTGAAAACTGACTGTAACTATACTTGTCTCTGTGATTGGTTGGAGTGTATAATATAAGGGTCTAAAATGGGTGATTATGTACATGTATATTGACTTGATATAATTTATTCTCTTGAAATAGAAAAATTGACTGTGATGTATTCATCTATCAATACTTACAGGTTTGCAGAGTTTGAATTGCATAATACATTTTATCGTTTTAAACTCAGCATTTCAAAAATCCTGCTTTTTCATGCCTAGCTAAAAAGAAAAAAATCCCACAGATGCTTTGAGCATTACCTAACTTGTTTTCAGAGGCTCAGAAATGAGATTATAGTAATATGGATATGAAATCGCTGGGGTACAGACTTGAGTTTTGGCAGAAGAGGAGAAGAGAGATTTCAGATAAACTGTGAAGGGAGAACTGTACTTCTTGCTTTTTCTCTTTGCCTGCTTGTTTGTAAAAACTGCACGAGGCTGGTCGAATAATCAGTGAGGCAGCAGAACAGCAAGATTTCTGCACAGAGGGTGGTGGCAGTCAGTGTTCCTGTGCACATACAGGTACTTACGTGCCAAAGGAATAAAAGATGAGGTTCAGCATCCATTGGAAACCTGATCTGTACTTACAGATCGTTTTAGCTGCCTGTTGGTGAGCACAGTGTGCGTAAGTTCTTAGTATCGGGGCACTTTTTTTTTTTTTCCCCCTTTTTTTGAGTCTTTCTCCAATGTTATGGAAGGGAGTGAGAGGCCTGCTAGAGTTCAGTGCAGTGAGCAGGCTGGGGTACCAGCCTGCCTTTGAACTTTCTGATTTATTTATTTAATTTGGCTCAGTATCTGAGGAGAAACCAAAGAACAATGACAAGGCTTTGTGGGAAGCCTGAAGTCTACTCCTCTCCAGGCGTTAGAGGCAGCATGGGATCAGGCACGAAGGTGATTGGCAGAGACACAGTCAGTGAGCAATTGGAGGGTGGCAGCCAATTTTTTGTGACTAAAATAGAAATTATGTCTGGGATTGGTGGTAGATTGCATAGGTTTTGATAGAAGTAGCTTATACTTGGTGGGATAGAGAAAGTGGGGCAGTTTGAAGAACTGAGGAATGAGTGATAAAAATAATGGGAAAAAAAAAAATTACCTTTGCAATGAGGCCCTAAATAACCTGAAATGGGGCACTACTGTCCTTCTGGAGGACATAGAATAGGGCAGTGCAGTAGTAAAGGAAAAAAAAGTTATGAGTCCTGACTAGACTTTTATTTGGATGAGTGCATAGGAAAAGCTGTATCTGAGGAAATATAACAGACTATCTGCAAATCCAAGTGTCATTTTTCTTACCTGTTTTAAGACCAGATGAAAAAACCTGTAATATCACTGTGTGTAATTTTGTTTGTATACTTTAATGTTGTATCAAAATTGAGAAAGCCATTTTTATGTGCATTTAAATAAAATTACATTAGGTAGGTGAGAATTACCCCATGGGGAGAGCTCTGTGAGGCAGATTCACTTTATGTTTTGGAAGACAGACTCTTCAGTGTGTTAGAATCTATAGAGGAAATAATACAAGAATTAGCAATAACTTGCATGTTAAATGTTAAAACAGAAGCCTCTGCTTCAAACAAATTATTAAAAGGTTGATTTGAAACAAACCTTTTACTAGATCTGTGTGAGTGAAGAAGCTAAAAGTGTCATCTCTCTGGTATTTTTGTAGATGTGATTATTACTGTCTTTTTTTTCAAAGTAAGTATATGCAAGATGAATAAAAGTCAAATCAAGTTTCTTCAGAAAGAGAGGCAGGAAAAGCTGAATGAAATAAATGGTGAATAAAGATTTCATGCCATCCAAAAATAAAAGATTTAAAAAACTAAAAAATGAAGCGGGAACAGGTGATGCTGAGGTGGTATGACTGCAGGTTGTAATTCACTTTAAGCCAGCGCTGTTGGCCAAGTAATCATAAAATGATTTGGGTTGGAAGGGACCTTTAAAGATCATCAAGTTACAACCCCCCTCTCATGGGCAGGGACACCTTCTATTAGACCAAGTTGTTCAGAGCAGCTCTGTTTTTCCTCTCACCTCTCCCTTGACCTGGGCACTTCCTAGCCCATGTGCTTGGGTGA